TAAAAGGGAGTAGCTTTCTGTCCTCTATTTAGCTACCGATTTGCAGGAAACTCCTGGGATTTCATTACCTTTGCAGCCTCTGCTGCTGTATCAGGTTTGGTAGGAACGCACTGAAGTTCCCGGGGAGGAAACACTGGGCAGACAGTGGGATTGCAGGAAACCAAGCAACCAAAAAATGTTAGGCAGCGCAGGCAAAACTGGGGAAGGGGCTTCAGAGGGCCTCCAGAGACAGATGCTCACACAGTCGTGTTTCTGCAGCAAAGTCTACAAGCTCAGGGCTCTGCTGACCACTTTGTGAGAGCGGACGCCTCTCCAAGGGGGTCACCCCGTCCTCCCAGAGTGGTGCTGGACCATGTGGCGGGGGGGGGGGGGGGGGGGGTCCTCTGCCAGCCTCTTCCCCCAAGCCTTAGGGCCGTGGGTGCCACCGAGAAGGATGCTCGGGGGGTGCCGCTGGGGTCTGACTCCAGGCACGAGTTTCGCGGGCACGGCTGGGTGCCACTTCCACGGGGAGGGGAGCAGGACTCAAAGGCTCGTCGAGGAGCAGCAAGGCAACCTGGGGTGACGCCGGGCACCCCGAGGGAGCGGAGCCGCAGCGAGTGGGCGGCTGGAGAGACAGCGCCGAGCTGGCGGGGGGGAGCGGGAAGGAAGCGGAGGGATCGGTGGAGAAAGACAGGGAGACGCTGGGAGTGGCGGGGGCCGTGGGAGGCAGGGAGACGGGAGCCCGGTGAGTCAGCCTGGTGGGGTGCTTTGAAAGCCGGCGGGGAAGCACAGGCAGGGCAGGTTCTGCTGCAGCCTGGGGAGCCATCTTCCCCCGGCTGGCACCTTCTCCATCCCTCCTTCCCTCCTCAGCCAAGGAAAGCAGATTGCCCTCCAAACCAGGGCAGCTTGTGGAGCCGCTGCTCTCTCCTTCCGAGATAACGCTGGCGTGGAGCCACCCTGGCTCCATCCGCTGCGGTGAAGTGGTTCCTCATCTAACCAGGAGAGCTGCCAAAACCTGGCTTGGAAGCAGAGCTTTCTGGCGGTTGGGCTTGGCCCCACGGCCAGCGGCACGGGGGTTGTTGTGCAGGCGTGACCAGGGCAGTAGCTTTGCTCTGGCAGCCTGTGCCACCTGCAGCCATTCTCACATCCCCCTGACCACCGGGGGACCATGGGCTGGTACTCACCCAAATGTCGGCACTGGAGATGCCACGTTTTGGGTGGGAACCTGCCCTCGGAGGCAATGGCAACCCCTCCGGCAACACACGGTGTGTGCGTGCAGGCGGCTGCCGAAACCCAGCTGAGTCACCCCTGGTGCTGCAGGTGTGCGATGGGGCGCGGGGCGGGGTGGAGGGAGCATCCCCAAGAGCACGTCCGCTCTTCGCCCGCAGATGCTGGGCAGGGAGACCAAGGGCAGACGTCTGGGTGGAAGGAAGGTTGGGGCTGGAAGAAATGTGCCCTGGGTGAGGTGCTTTTTTTTAAAGCAGGGGACTTTTCCTCTGTGCTCCACTGCAAGCTTTCAAGCCGTGGTCCTCAGAGGTCCCCACGATCCTTCTGGGAAGAACCTATGGCATGCCGGACCTCCACCAGATAATCCAGGGAGGAAGCAGGTTGGGAAAGGCTACAGAGGAGATACCCTCCCTTCTTCCCAGCTTGCCTTGGCTGCAATGGGAGCATCTTCCTTCTGCAAACCCTCTCCCTGTAATGTGGCCGGGATGCGAGCCTGGGGCTCCTGGTGGCCTTGTGGCACCTGTTCCTGGGTGCTGGTGCAGGCTCCGTGCTCACCATCCCACCTCACCTGGGGAAACGTGGAGCTTTTCATGGAAGGGCTGTCAAAATGGGATGCCTCTCGCAGAAGACTGGGTAATGTTTTGACACCCAGCCTCTTCCCTGACTCTCCCAAAATGCCTCTGGGAGCAGCGTGGGGGTTTGCCAGCCAGGGGCGTGTCAGCTGGGCATTTGGGTGACTTGCAGCAGCCCAGATGTCCCAGCCCTGGTGTTTCAGGCACACTGCAGACCCCAGAAGATGAAGGTTCATCTTCCCAAGGATATGAAGCTGTGGCCTCTCTTGCATGGTCAGTAAACTCAGATAAATCCCCCCATGTGAGCTCTGCTGGGAGCCAGAGACCCAAGGCTGTGCTGTTGCATTGCCGGGCTCCTGTACCAGCCAGGCTCTCATCTCCATCCAGCCCAGTTTGGCTCAAAATTGTGAGAAATCAATGGAAAAGGGGCTCTGGGTGACTGCGCTCTCAGCCTTGTGGGCAGAGCATCCCCATGCAGCCCCTGCAGCTGTACCTGCCCCTGTCCCTCCGATTCCGTGCCGGAGGGGTGATGGCTGGGGGCAAGGTCCCACGGGGGGCTGAGCGTGAAGGTCCCTTCACTGGACTCAATGGTAAAGGCACAGCTCGAAGACATCGCCACGGCATTGCCGAGGGACTGTGCCTTTCGGCGGTGTTCAGCTCTGCCTGGCTGTACGATCAAACCCTCGTCCCTGCCCAGGCCACGTCCCTCCACCACGCAGGCACGTGCCTGCTTCTGCAGCCGCACGGTGCAGATCGAGGTGAAACGTAGCCCAGGCAAGAAGAAGAAAGGGCACGGCTCCCTGGGGTCACTGGGCAGCTAAAATAGTCCCTGGTCACAGAAAAAATTGAGTTGCCATCCCCTGAGCAGTGGACATATGCCTTTGCTTACACCTCCTTTACTGAGCATCTCTTCCTCCGCTCTGTTTTGAAGCCCAGCTCCTTCCCTCGCTCCCTACACCCAGGTCTTGCCCCCCAGCACGCTTTCCCCACTCCCTTCTAGGTGCTGTATCAACCGGGGCGAGGCTGGCGGTGAGAGGGAGTCCTCCAGAAGGGACGAGTGCCCCATGCCCCTCGCACATGGCCATTGATCCGTCCCCCACCTGGGGTGGGTTGGGGAAGCGGGGAGGGTGCGACTGCGACAGCGACACAGGGCTGATGCACTGTTTGATCCAATCCCTCCCCCAAATGGTTCGAGTCAAATGAAACACATTTTAGTAGTCAAATCTGTAAGGGTGGGTCCCATTGTGCTTTGACCCTACAGGGCATTTTGTACATTTAATTTGATTTACACCCAAAATGTTAATTTAACGTACTGATTTTCTCCCACACCCAACTAACGCTGCAAATTAAACAAGATCCTACAGAAAGGTTTGTGTGCCATTATCTCGTTAGCGTTGTTATTTGTTGAGTAATTACAGCGCTCGGGCTGTACGTGCAGCGTTGCTCCGGCGGGCGGATGGAGAAGGACGCCGGCCGCCCGGTGACGTGTCTGTGGGCTGCCTCGCTGACGACGGGGTGGCCCCAAGGACGCCGCTTCACGGCGCCGCGTGCGGCTCCTTGCAACCGTGTTGGTGGGGCCATGCTGTGAGCACGCTCCTTTGGGTTAAAAAATACCAAGGAATGGTATTTTTAGGAAAGGCGGCATCATTTTCTTCTGGACTATGGCCAAGCAACACCAAGGCTTGGTCAGCAGTCTGTATTTCCACCCGCTAGCTCAAGGGGAAGGCAGCCCGCCACTGCTGAGATGCTCTGCTTTGCGTAGGTGGTGCCTGTCCATCCAGCTCCTCGTGCCTCGCCGGCGGCTGCAGGACCTCCCCTTCACCCTGTGCCTCCGACGGCGCTGGGCTCGCCACAGCTCTGACCACTCGTGTCAGGCCTCCAGAGCTGATAATAATAATAATTTAGTTCCTGATTCAGCTGTGCGTGTAAGTGCACGTCTGACTTGGAGCGCCCAATTAAAGTGAAGTGTGTGCTCCAGGACCTTGCTAAATGGGAACCTCAAAGCAGGATTTGAAAAAGCCAAGGAGACATTAAAGTAGTCACAGCAAACTCTTGGTTCAGGAGTGTTGTGATTAATGTCATTTGCTACCTCTTTTGGCTTAAAAGACAAGGAGTGGTTAAAATAAAAGAAACCTCAAGTTGAAAGCATTGCAAAAAATCAATTAAAACCCATGTAGCTGCATTTTGACCCGGAGCAAAATCTCAGACATAACAGAGAAATTACATAGCCTTAAAGAGAAAGAAAGAAAGAGAAGGTTTTACGTGTGGTATTGCTGAGGTATTGCCTGAAGCTGTGCTGAGGTGGCTTCTCCCCCGGTACCTGCGGAGACTGTAACCTCCCTGCAGGAGCAGGGGGAGCGGGTGGGTGCCCCGGCCCTCGCCGTCGCTCCCGGGCCCTGTCCCGTGGGTGAGCGGTCAGGGCTGAAAAGCCTTCCTGGAGGACCAAGCGCTGGGTGGTGGGATAACTCCTCCACTGCTTCAGCCTACGGGACGGAGATGTCTGCGCCGGGGCATCGCTCCGCTAGGCCCTAACGAAACGGGGGACAGCGGGTAGGGCTGCTGCGGCTCCCGGCTGGGATTTCCTGGCTGGAAAAACGGATTGCTTTGGGATGCTCAGCCTGGAGGACCCCTCCAGCGGTGCGGCACCTGATGCGGGGCTCGGGGCTGGGGCTCCTCCCTTCCAACACCCTCCTGGGGCTCCAGCCGCTCCCACGCCCCCAGGGCTCAGACCCCCTCAAGAGCTCGCACCAGTTTGACCCTGGATAAAGCCCCCAACAGCCCCACACTGGTTGTCCTTGGCCCAGAGAACCCAGGTGGAACAACTGGGGATGTGCGTTAAGCCGAGCTCTTTCATTTGGCTGCTGTGTTTGAAGGCGCGTCCCTTCCAGAAGCTCCAGGTCTGTCCCCTGAAGTTAAATCTTCATCTTGATGAAATCGACGGTGAAACTCCCGTCAATTCCTCCTGGCCTGCTCTTTGCTCTTCGGGAGGAAAGCGGTGGCCGTAGGGACAAGCGATGCCATTTGAAAGGCCTCTTCAGGCGGGGAAACAGCTCTTGGTGCTCAGCCCCACAACTACCCCAGCCCGGTGCCGCCTCCCTGTGAGGATGTGCGCCGGGAGGAAGGCAGCCAGCGCGCTTCCGCTGCGTTTAATAAAAAAGCAGACTGAATAGCAGGCGCGAGGCGGGAGAAGGCACCCCTGAACGCTGTTAAATACCCGAGGACACGCCACGCTGTGCTCGGAGACCGAACGCAGTTTTGTGGGTTTTCTTCTGTTTCTTTTGCTTCCTTTCCCCCCACCCCGTCCTCTTCTCTTTTGTTTCATTTCCACTTCGGGAAGAGGGGGAGAGGACAAGAGGCAAATTAAGAAAAAAAGAAGGAGGGGGAGAGAAAAGGCTGAGGCCGTGACACGTTTTTCATTTTAAATAAATGACTGAAACAGAATAAATCCCTTTTTTCAACAGAAGGAAGGCTTGTCATTAAGAAAAATAACAACAACCACCACAACTTTCTCTGCCTGCTGCTGCCCCGAG